CCCCTCCCCCCCCCCGTGTGCGCGCCTGGTTTTGGTCATTTGTTGTTGTCTTCATTATGGTCAACTTGGGTGAAGATACCAGTGGGGCGAGGCTTTCTGGAGGCAAGTCCAAGCACATTTGATCACCTGTGACTGGTGCGGGGTGCAAATGTTTATAACTGCAACCCCGTTTTGAAATCGTTTTGGAAATGTTTTGGTGCAAGAATCTGCGCTTTCAAAAAGCCAAAACCCTATTCAAAAACGTTTCAAAAAAATTGCCAAAATGTTGTTTATAATTGGCGCCTTAATTGTGTTATTAATTTAAAACTTAGAAAGGTCTAAATAGCTCTCTAAATTGCAACAGGAATTTCTTCACTAGAGCCTGAAAAAGATTGAGCTGGAGGAGCAATATTGTAATTTGTATGTAGTATTAAATCAGGTAGTGAATTTTGTACAGATTGAGCAAGCTTGCCTCAATTGTGTACCAGGAATGAAACCCTTGGTATAATTGACTAACATGTAACAGATTTGATAACAGGCTGTAACTGATTTGATAATAGGCTGTAACAGGTTTTCCTGCCTGTTATAATGATAAATGTTTAGTGGCTAGCATGGGAATATTCATGAAGTATGGGCTGCAAATTGCCTTCATTCATTCTGGTGCAAGAAATCTTTCAGAATCTTACATTCTTGAACATGGCTTGCATCTCTTATATGCAAGATCCTTTTATAAAAGAGAAAATGCTGTGGAGACTCAAAAAAGATCAAAAAGAGATGTAATATTAAGTTTATTAATGTGCAATAAGCCAACTCTTGGCTTTGATCCAACCTTTATTGAGGTTCAAGGGCCTTTTCCTAACATTGAGAAGGAGATTGAGGAAGTGGTATCAAAAATTTGTCTGCATGTTCCCTCAATTCATCACCCATCAGATTTTCAACATTTTGAAAAATGACTGAAACTAAAGAATGTTGGTTTAGACCCTGGTACTTTGGTACCCGGGTACCAGACAATCTTTTCAGCTAAATTGGACACTGGACACCACACCCGCCACCGCCTAGGCGGTACTGGGGGTACCAGTGGTACTCTGACAATTTTTTTTCTCAGATGAAGCTAGCAGGGAGTCACAAGTGCGTTGGGGTGGGGTGAATGACTCAAACTTCAGGCAATGGTGGGCCAGTTACACTAACCATAGTGTTAGCTTTTTAAGCTACGCTACACAAAATTTATTGTTACCGGGAATTTTTGGCCCACTAACACTATAGGATTTTTGAAAAGAAAAAAAAAAAAAACTTTAGCATAGTGTTAGCTACCTTTAAAAAGGCACAACTCACACTACCCAAAATCCTGTTAGTGAAATTTTAGCGGTGTTAATGGGGGAACCCACTACACTACATGTTAGTGTAACTTTTTGCAAAGTTACACTAACAGTTAGTGTAGTGGTATCCTCAGTTACACTAACTGTTAGCGTAACTGGTGAAAAAGTTACACTAACTGTTAGCGTAACTGATTAAAAGTTACATGACCATATGATTAGCATTAGTCTACCCTGAAGACAGTGCCTGATAGAGATTGTTTGTTCGGACCTAGGTACCTGTTTATACCTAGGTACCTGTTAATTTTTTCAAGAAAATAGATACCATGTACCGCACCAGACACCTCCCGGGGGGGGTACCCAAGGTACCTGTTGCAGGTACCTCAGGTACCCCCCCTCTCTTTTTCACCTATTTGCACTCCCAGAGTCCCAAGTCACTTTATTATTATTATTATTTTTTCATATTTATTGTAAAATATCACTCACAAGTCACTTTTTTGGCATTTTTTAATATCTGTTGTAATATATTTACATTTAATTGGAAGAATCTTACTTTTCTATTTTTTTTCATATTTATTGTAAAACATACAGTCCCAAGTCACTTTTTTCATTTGTTCATATTTAATAATTTATGC